CCCAAAACCCTATTCTTATTACTAAGGACCCTGTATTAGGGTTGAGTGTTTAGAGTTTTTTAGAGGTTAGCGTGCTCTAGGTGGCTAGGGTTGAGGGTTTAGAAGTTAGGGCTCAGGTGTAGGGTTTCGGAACTTTAGGTTTAGGAAATTTACGGCCCTACCTATAGTCTCCATTGTAGCTCCTTCTTTGGTTTAGCCAGTTTTCATATTTGTGAGCCCATACGTTAGCCGAATAAAAGCTACAATGGAGACTGCAGGTAGGTGACGAGGGTTGAGGCCAGGCTTTAGAGGTTAGGCTGAGGTGTAGGGTTTAAGGGCTGTAGGTTTGTAGGGTTTTCCGGGCATGGTAAACCCTTTCATAAGGCCATTCAAGACCAGAATTTCAATCATAAAGAGCCCACAAAAGGCTGGTTATTTTAGGTGAGTGCATTATTTGCCCTGGTTTAGGGTAGTTGAGGTACGTAGTGCGCGTTTTTGTGTATTGTTGAGCTTGCTGCTAGCGGTTGTCAAACATCTCACGGATGTTTGAATGCAGCATGATGTCGAAGCTAGCCTGATGCCAAGGCTCACAGACCCTCACCCCGCAAAGTGGAGCCTTGTTGGATCCTGGGGCTTAGACAGTATCATCCTTCTGCTCAACTGACGTTCCTCGGGGCTCCTTGTGGTAGCTATACTATGAAATACACCAAACCAACATTTGTTTAACCTTAATCCGTAAATTTAAGTGCTAGTTCTAAAACGTTGCAGCTTCCAGGTAGTATCCGCGCTCCAGCGATCGAAGTTTTTTGATGGCGGCAAGCTGAGTTCGACAGCTTTTTTTTTTCGCGGAAGGGGCGGGTAGGGTTTAGGTTTTCGGGGGGTGGGTGGATGAGTGGAGGGGCATTTCTCCTTACGTGTTCAGTCCTCACACATCCAAATTCGGAGATCACCTACAACGCAGCCTGCCCTCCAAATGTTCCAAGCCGTCAACAGCCCAAACACTTCAGCGGGGCTCGGATTCATTTTGACAAATTACCTATAGTCTCCATTGTAGTTCCTTTTGGGGGATACCTTATAAAATCCTTAATATATATTTGGTTAAACCCAAAAAAGGAACTACAATGGAGACTACAGGTATTAGGCCGACAGACTACACTGAGGCCCGGCTCCTGGTTCTGTGCAGCAGCAACAGCCTTCCGTAAGCCCGTACAGTGCCTCTCAAGAGCACCTTGAACCAAGAAAGCAATCATGCAGAACAGCGGCTGCTGGAGTCAATGGGCTATATACTTATTTTCGGGGTCGGAATACTTGGCGTTAACATTGTTCCAGAACATTGCGGCAGCCCTCCAAACGCTCGCCGGAGTCTAATTGTCGATGTTTTGTGTAACCTTTGATGACTTCGGGTTTCAGCTTCAGCAAACTGTAGGGTCCAAAGCAACATGTAGTCAGGTACTTGGGGGAGTACATGAATGAGCATGATGTGCTTCGACCCGTAACACATTATAGACTACCAATATCACTCGTTAGGACTCCCTTTTCTAATTCAAGTTATAACGGGCACCAAAATCCGCCGCCTCTAGAGGGCACCCAAGCAGGTGGCTTGTTCGAAGTCCTTGCGGCGGAGCTTCGCCGCGCGCCGGGCCCCCGGCAAGCAGCTTGTGTGAGAGGGTTTGAAGCATTTCGATGTTTTACATTCTGTTCGAAATTTCAGCCCTAACTAAACCATAAACCCTAAACCCTAAGTTAAACCCAAAACCCTTTACACCGTTTTGAGCTTCTTTGAGCCCTGTTGGAATCCTCAACTCTCACCTCACTTGCTCCTTGAAGCTCCAGCGGTAAGCCTTACACCGGGCGTTTCGCCGCATCCTTGTAGGGTTTAGGGTCTACCCAGACCCCCAAAACCTGCCTCTTTAAGGACTTTTGTACGGGAAATCATAATGAGGAGCCCTAAGACTTAGGCCCTAAGAGCCGAGGCTCTCAAGGGCTCAGGTAGGCCTCCCACAGCTTACCTTGAACCCTCTGAACTAAGGTTAGAAGTATGGGAGTTTCAGAAAATTAGGGTACCTTATTTTGGGGTCCTTGTAATAGGGATCCTATTATTTAGGGTACTATATTAGTCTTTCTGGCCCCTATACCGCTGATTTCAAGCAGCCGGCTTTTTATCACCAATGCCAGCGGAAAGTTCATGGCCGAAGACCGTAAACCCTATTCCGTAAACCCCAACACCCGAGCTTAAGATGCCGATAGCTCCGAGGGTTTCTGCGCCTGAAGTCATGCATCTGGGTGTCAGCGTTGGTGTTTCTGTGTTTGTGGTATATGATAATACAGACCTGCGACTAAGACTCCCCGTGTCTTCGTAAGGCTTATTCGCTTGAAACATGTATCAAGGTCCTTGACACAAGATGGTGTGTCAATAAGAGGTCTGCAGTAGACTTTGTGGCCTTCGTACCCAGAGAACCCAATACCTCTTAATTAAAGACTATGCCTTACATCATAGGTGCCTTGATATTATAATTGATTTAAGTCAATATTCCTTAATGAAGGGGTATTGGGTTCTCTCCCTAAACCCTAAACCCCTAAACCCCTAAACCCCTAAACCCCTAAACCCTAAACCCTAAACCCTAAACCCTTACTGAAGGGGTATTGGGTTCTCGGGTAATCTTCAAGCGTTTGCACGAGTGTGGACCATGCCAAGGTTCGATCGACGGTCGCTCAGTGCCTGGCTTGACAATGGCCGGTTTAGGGTTTAGGGTTTAGGGTTTAGGGGTTTAGGGGTTCAGGGTTTAGGGATGGCCCGCGGTGGTTAACATAGGGGGCCTTAATAACCCAAAGGGTCCAAAGTACCGATATAGTAGAATGTAGGGCTTCTTTCTTAGAAATTACTATCATGATTTAGGGAAGTATCCCCCATAACAGTACATAGAGCCCTTGGGGTAATTAGAGTAGGGTTTGGGGTAGATTATACTATGATTCTAATATATAAGGAACTCCCATAAACCTATTCTAATTATTAAGGCCCCTACATTAGGGGTCCCTAAAATGCACTACGCCTTGAAGCCTTCGCTTCTTATTAATTCTGTTAAACTAACCTAACAACAAGGGGTTATCCCGGGGCCTGAAGCCGTTAAATAGACTTTTGGTGTCTGGGAGTCTGTAGGGTTTAGCATCTTAGGGTTTAGGGGTTCAGGGTGTAGGGTTTTAGGGTTTAGGGTTTAGGGTACATGTCTTCGTGGACTGTAGCACTCCATAGAGCTTAGACTTTGGGGGGCTCCGAGTTGATAGAGGGCAACATGTTGCTGGGCGTCACAGGGCCAGGCTGCGGTAGAGGTTGCGTTTGGGAGCTGCGGAGCCTTACCTTCATCCCTAAACCCAAAGCCCTACCTTAAGAACCCAAAACCCACTTTTTTGTAGGTTCTTATTATAAACCCTAATATGGGATTTACAGGGACCCTACAAAAAAGTAGGTTTGGGGTTCTTAAGGTACACCCCAAACCCTAAACCCCAAGCCCCAAACCCCAAATCCCAGGCGCGGCCGAAGTCATTACGACCATCGCTACCTTGGGAGAGCTGAACGCGTACAACCAGCGTGTCTTTGAGGCCACCGGAGGTTTGGGCTTAATATCGGGGCCTAGATAATTAGGGTTTAGGGTTTAGTATTTAGGGGTTTGGGTTTAGGGTTTAGGAATAATTACCGTAAGTATTGTTTTTTTTTGGGGGGGGGCCCTTATTCTTTTTGTCGTATACTATACCCCGCAAGCCCTATGTTTATTAAAGAAGAAGACAGACAGTTGGAACATGATTATCCCAATGCCCTTAAGGTAAAGTATAAGGGATCCTAGCACTAATCCTCCTAAACACATGTTCCAACTTTCTGGCTTCTACTATATTAAGGTCCCTAATATAGAACCTTATCATAGATCCCTGATA